TTTTTTTTATACAAAAGTTCAATAGTTTGACACTCCCCATTATTAATCACTACTTCACTGATAAACTTTGAAAGTGTGACCCTGGAATTCATCATGCAAAATATTTACTGCAGCAGGAGAAAAACATTTTTTTTTTTTTTAAACGACTTTTTTTTTTTTTTTCCTTTCAAATATATGAACTTTGTTTAAGACAGCCAGAAAAGGCAGTGGTAAGATAACAGAAGGGGTGGGAAAGTATCAAAAAAAACCAGCTTAAACACAAAAACTGTACAAAAATGCTTCGATCAATGATAACAGGAGAAAAAAAAAAATCTGTCAACTATGTTACAATTTAAAAGCTGAAAAAAAGAGTCAGGGATTTTCTCCCACATGTCAGCAAATGTCATCCAATATTCTTAAAGCAAGGATAACTAAATAAAATACATGTGCAGCGTATTCTGCAATTCCATTACATACAGTAGTTTTTTTTTTTTTTCAAAGCTATTTTTTTAGTATAGTTAATATAAAGCAGTTGCACAAAAAGCAAAAGGTGTTTTGACAAACAGGTCTGCATTTATTCCTTTTGAGGAATGATATCTAAAAAAAGGACCTTTCCACCTTTTCCGCCCTCCCCTCCCTCCCCCCCGAAAGACAAAGGCTCACACAGACACAGTGGGATATATATGTACAACATAATAAACCCCTCCCTAAAGAAGCAACTGTATATCCAAAGGGATACAGAATCAGAATTGTAAAAATCATAGTGAAGTTTGCTTGATGTAAAGCCTGAGATTTTTCAGTTGGTTCTTCTGCAAGGCTGCAACACCTGCCAGATATGTTAAAATCTAATTTTTTCTTTCTTTTTCTCTTTTTTTCTTTTTTTTATTTTTGCTACAGTCTTTAGACTAAGCATGCAAGACATACAACTAAGTGCAACTGAGTGAAATGTATTTTTTTATTTACTCATTCCCTAACAGTTTGGACTGAGGTATGCGTACTAACAGTTTCTCATGCTGTTATCTTTACTCATGTCTAGCTACACATGCTGAGAATGAACTAATCTACCAGATTTTTATCCCCTTCTGAATACCGAACTAACCAGCAAACCACTCAGTTCAGAAGCACAGGGCTCAATTCTCATGATCCCCGTCTGGCTACCGCCGGCACGTCACGAAGCTGCCTGGATATAATTTAAACGAAAAAAAAAAAAAAAAATGTTTCAAATGACCACAGACTGCCCTTTTTTTCTTTTTTTTTTTTTTTGTCCTTTGAAACAGAAAGCAGAGTTGGGTTTTATAAAAGTAACTGCCAATAAAATTTCTTGTACCAAAGCTTATGAGTGGACAGGAGTGTTATTTCCTTATGAAAAATGCTGACCAAAAACTAAACAAAACTGAGCAAATGTGCCAAGATCAACCAAAATTAAAGTAGTCATCCTAGCACGGTCCCGAAACAGAAGTGGCACACAATCTGTAGAACCAAAGACCAAAAATTTTTTTTTTTTTCATTTAATTCTAGAAATACTATTATGTGGTCCAGTTAAATTGTGGGAGCTTTTCTGTTCTCTTCTGTATTTTATTAAACTGTCTCCTTTATCTGATACTCTAATTTTCCACGAAATAACTGTGTCTTTGCCTTCTCCAGCTCCCTTCTCATAGCTCCACCAGTAACACTGATTCCTAGCTGTAGCCTCAAAAGCTCTCCTCGATTCCTCTTTACAGACTTTCATTTTGGTCACTGTAAAGAATTGCAAATAAAAAGTAACAACTTTGGTTCAGACACCTACTTGGCCTTCTAAATTTTCTAGAATAAAGGAGCAGTTTCCCTCTCAGGTTAGCAATAGCCCACATCTTGTCATTTCCCTCTAAATTCTTCAACCTCCTTTGATCAACAATAAGAGGATATTTGGCTTCATAAGATAAAGCATATAACAGAGAACATAAATTACCTTTGTGTAATATCTTTGGTAATTTTAGGAAAAAAAGGTACAAAGAAGAATATAAATTAAGCTCTGAAAGGCTTTTTGAAATAATAAAAAAGCTACAGTCCTACATAAATAAATGAGTGACGGAAAAGTGGCTGCAGAATGAAAACGTTTAGGTGTTTGGTGACCGAGGTTTACTGACCTATCGCAACAAATTTTGTATGTCATGTTTGCTTTGAAGAGCCTTGCCAGTTTTGCCTAACAAGCCCCGGCGCAAATTCTCTCCTAGATCTGCTGTCTCCTACGGCGAGGTTTCCATACTGGCTGGTGTAATATTGCATAACAATCTTAACTGCAGTACTGGATTTGCACAGCTGAAAATTAACACTTTAGCATTAGTGGGGCTCCGTCCTTATTAACTCCCGTAACAAGTTCAATCTGAAATCTAATTTGTATTCAAACAGATTAATGCCACCAAGCAATCCTGAACCGATGTTTAACCGTGAAACATCACCACGTACAATAACAATTTAATGAAGTCATCTTTCCAACCACTATTTGCAAATGCAAATGCAAAAAGAAAAAAAAAAAAAGTAATAATAAATGTATAGGTGCCCATCTCAGCAATCTTAGATATTCCAGAAAGATTTGTTGACCCATTAGAGCTCATGTTAAACAACCGAGAACTTGCCACTGTACAATTCATCCTCTAATAAAAGTGAACTCTGTTGGTGCTGCATATGTTTCTTTGTGCTGTTCAATTTTGTGGCATTTGCTAATATTCACCGTTGCTGCCAAAAAAAAAAAAAATCAAAAAACCCAAACAAAAAAAAATTTAAAAAATTAAAAATACTGCTTTGTGGAATGAATCTGTGTTGCTTCCTACAGTGTTTCTATGTTCATCTGTCATTCATTCTCATTCTTGCAGTACTTCGTTCCTCTCTCTCCGTTGGACAACCCTTCCACATGTATAGTGCAGCATTTGGGACCTTTTCAAAAAACAACAACAAAAAAAAGGAGACACCGAAATGGAATGTTTTCCATAGCTAAAGAAAACATGGTGGCATCTGAAGGAAACTGGAATGAATGACAGAAAAAACTACAAACAATTCAATGACATTCAGCTTCGTATAATAAAAACACCTATTAACATTCATCACAAAGTACAGAAAACGTTGAAGCCTCCGAGAGGCCCTGGGCCCAGATGAGGCCTGAGGTCAGAACTTAAAATGGTAGAGGAGAAGTGGGGCGGGGGAATAAAAGCAATACATTAAAAAGTTTGGGATAATTTTTTCTTTTAACCCCTCCCCGATATACACGCTCACACGCACACACACATATCCACACACGTGCACACACAGGCCTTCCCCATCCCAATGGAAGCAAAAAAAAAAAAAAAAAAAAAAAACCAACCAAAAAACAAAAAAAATGGAGTAAAGGCAGTGATAATCAACATGCAGTACTGTGCAAATATGTTGTCCATTGGAATCCTTAAAATCTGGGCAAAGACTTGATCTGCAGTTCAGGTGTACATGCTCAGTTTGATGTCCTCAAGTGTCCAAAATTGGCAGGACCTGCAGTCCACAGCTGGCTGCTAAATGCAAGTGAATCAGTTTAGCAAATTTACAACACTGATGTTGACTGTAAGAGAGGAAAATCCCAAGTACCAAACAAGTCCATCCAATGCACAGAGTACAAATTCCTTTTTTCAACAAAAAGTAGAAAAATCAAAAATACTCCCAAATGGGATACTTGATGGCACTAAGAGTTAACATATTTCATAGTTGTCAAAGTGGACTGAGAATCCTCCAGACTGTACAATAATGGAGAGATTTCACAGCTAAGTTTGACGTGTTCTTCCAATCTTCATTCTCAGGATAATGATGTCAGACATACTCATTCTATGTCCTCATTTACAGGTTCATCTTCATAATCTCTGTCGTGATCGAAATCTGGACTGTGGTTGGCTGTTGTCACTAAGGATAGCGGGCCTTCATTTTCATCTGGATCTAACGGTTCTTCTTTGACATGCACGGGGTGCCTGGAAAAACGAAAATACGGTCAATCAGCAGGTTGCTCCTCATTAAAGAACAGTTTTGACAGCTCGGGTGGTTTGGGGAGAAAGGCGAGGTGGTTTGGGCGTTCAGACCCGGCGTGCCAAGCCTAGGAGCTCCAGGTCACCAAGGAGGAGACCCTCAACTTCTGCTCCAGCCACTGGAGCCAAGCGAAGGCTACGCCGGGCAGGCAGCGCTCGACTTCTCTGGGAAAACACTCTGGGAGGAGCACCGCGATAGGGTTTCAGTCTCGGGATCGAGAGAAAACGCTCTCAGCTGACATAGTAAGTTGATTAATACAATCTTTGGATAAATAAGCAGAATAAGGATCCGAATGGCAAAGCAGCAGTTTGTCAGCCCGCCGAGCCGGCGGAGGCTGGGCTAATCATCGCTCGCTGTGTGTGCGGCGTCTCTCGTTAACATGCAGAACCTGTGAGACAACTCTCCAGAGGACGACCCCAAGTGAGGTTCTATCATTAATCAACTTCAAGCAAACACAGCAAAGAGACACCATGATACATGCTTTAAACTCCAAATTAATGCATATTTTTACAAACTGTCAATAAGGGAAGAAAAGCCCTGCCAGGAAACACAAACAGAGAGGAAAAGGCTCGCTCAACACAACAATATGATAAGAAAGCACAGTCCTAACGAGAATAATAACACTGTCAGCTGTAAACAAGGCAGAACATGATCCCCAGCTCATGGTGGGCACAAGGATGTACTAAAGAGATGAGATCTGCCAAATTTCTCATTACGGCATAGCACATGAATAACCCGCAGGGGAACGGGGCTTGGTCATTCAAAACGGGTATGATAACAATTGAAAAATGTTGTTCGTAAATCATATTTACAACAAATCCTATACAAATACAAATTACCTTTCTTTTTTTTTGTTCGCCAGCTTTTGAAATGTAAAATAGCCATGTGAGTCAATAGTGTCTTGTTGGTGGGACTTTATAGGAAAGTAGGATTTTATTGACATTACCAAGTATTAATAATGCGACACAGCAATGGAGACCCTGTTTGCTTCCTAAATAATTGATGTTGTAGGCAATCCCTTAAAATAAAGTGTTAATGAGTTCAAGTCCCACTCTGTCTCTCATTGAGTTGATATCCACCTCCTAGAGTCTTGTTTTTTCTCTGTGCGGGCTGATTTAACCCCTTCATGTCGGCTACGTGAAAGCGTAACCCAAAGCGCAAACCTTTATTCGTAAGAATGTTTTCTCTCTTTGTACAGCTTTGCTTTAAAATGAATGATTTAGAAGAGCTGCATTTTATTTTATGTTTTGTGTGGACAGGAATGACAATACTGTTTGTACTCCACTGCACTGACAGACAGCAAGAATAAATCACCAAAGAGGGAAAATGTACTCGGTATCCACGTACAAGCCAAAGGTAACCCTGCCTACTTCAAGCGACCAGGGTGAGCCAGCTGTGCGCTTGTACGGTGTGCAAAGCTGTATCGCACCCTATTTATTTATTTCAGCTTGAGCCTGGATCAGTTTAGGAAGCATCTAACTTGCTGACTACACACATTTTTAATGTGAGCTGTGAACGTCTTTCAAGTCCCCGCATATTTCAACTTCTTGAGTTGGAAAGTGCTAGATCAATACTTCAGTATTAACCGCACCTTCCAGCCCATCCAACAAAGGAACGGTGGGGAGAAGTGATACAGCACCCACGTACGCACCCCTTCCCTTCAAATTCACAAATATGTCCCCTATCAACACATCCCTGGGGCAGAGAGCTTCCTCTGCGTGTCACGTAATTTTTGCAAAAATTACAAGACAAGACATTGCTCATACAATTTTGGCCTAATTATTGAAAAAGGAGGAGGGGGAAAAAACACTGGGAGGAGATGATTCAAACAGCAGAGGTTCAGAATTAGCTTAAGTGTATAAAAAGTCTGGCGAGCGGATCGTCATCTCAGAGGTGCATATTGTGCTAACCCTCCCGGCGGCTCATGGCCCTAGTAAATGTGAAACCACGCTGATTATTTGCAACTAGAAAAACTTATATTATGAATAGGCTGTGGGGCCCCTCACTTGGGAGAAAACATGAAATGAAAAACAGAAGAAAAAGGGGGAAAGAGCGGCTACACATAGAGACCGATAAAGTGTGTGTTACTCGGCCTTTATGGCAGTGATCTTTTTTACTCCTGTTTTAATTTAAAAGTCTTGCTTGTTGGCTTTCTGGTTTTGATGCTGCTGCTGGGCTTATTTTTGTGTTGGTGTTTTTTTTTTTTTTAAAGGTATTATTTTTGAAACCGTGGATGGGAAATTTGCAAAGGAGAGAGGAGAACGTGTGCCACGTGCAGCAGAGGTGGCCGCGGCACATGGACGGGCGTTTCTCCAAAGGCTGCTCAGCGGCCACGTCTCGGTGTCCCACCGCATCCCCGCTCCACCTCGCGCTCGGCCAGGGGGCAGAAGTGAACGGGTGCCAGCAGGTAAGACAGGCACCCGCTGCGCTCGCAACCACCCAAAATGCTGTGAAAGCTCCTTCAAAGGTCCCCGAACCTTTCCAAAGCAAACTCTGCTCCCCTTCTGGTTTTGTTATGAAAGCAGGTGAAACCAGGTGGTTTTAACTGAGTTTCTCTTTGAGGTTTGGTGTGGTTCCCAGAAGTCAAAACCCCAAAACTTCAGGAGTGAAAAGCAAAGCAAGCACCAAGTTATGAAAAGGGCTGCTCGACCCCGAGCGAGACAAAGCCGGAGAGGGCCACAAAGCCACGGGGAGGCACAGCCACGCCAGCCTCCTCCAGCAGCTCACGTGTTGGACAAACATCAGACAGCGAGCCTGGCAAAAACTCCATCCCCCAAATTAGGAGGGTTATCTGGGTAATACAACCCCCCCCGGGAGAGATCTGCATGGGAAACAACAAAAAAGATTCAACTCCTTGTGTACTCCGTCAGTTTTAACCACAAAGTGGCGTGTGAGGAGGAAACCTTACTGAATCCGTGATTTTGCTCAAACGTTTCAGAACAACTGCAATAAATAAGCTTAAGTAAGCTCAAAGGCAAAGGGAGACCCTCCTCTCTCTCAAGTAAGTCTGAATCTCTATTTACCACCTCCCCAAAAGTCCAAACTGGGGAAGGAAAACTTCATTTAGAGACTAAAGAATTCAGTCTCTTGAATTACAGAAAAGATAAATGCTGGGCTAGGCAAAAAGAGGGGGGGGGGGGGGGGAAGAAAAAAAGGAAAGGGTTTCCCGTTTCTTCTTTATATTAGCAGAATTTCAGCGCATTCCTTTTAAGTAGACGCCTAAGACTCCAGAAGGGGTTAACAATAAATAACCTTGCTGAACACAGATTCCCCTTCTTTTCACATCTGAGTAATTCTTTTGTTTGTCCACTCTGGGAACAGAGGAGTTTTTAATAAAGCTGACTGTTGTTTAAAGCCACTGAGTTCTGGTGGTGCACACAGCATGGAGTAGTTTGCTTTGTGGCTACCTTTGGAGCATATCAGGATGAAAGTGTTATGTCCCCAAGCTGTAATTATGCGACTACTTTCTAGTGTTTCAAAAGGAGGGAGAGAGAAGGGGGGAGGAAAAAAAAAAACCAAACCCCTAGCTGTGGTTCAATGTGTCATAAAAAGGAAACGAATGAGCGGTAATAAGACTTCAGCTAAAGTGTTAGACTTCTTAGCTGTCATGTTAACAAGGTCCTTTAAACCTTACAATAAAGTTTAAAGCTTGATTTATTCTAACATACTGAAATTGTTTAAAAAATAATTTGCATTATGACAAGGAAATCTGTTCTGAGAAAAAAATTGAAAATGTCATTAACAAAGCAGGCTTATGGAAAATAAAGAGGTTGCACAGCGTCTGGAAATCTGCTGTTGACTCATGATTTTATTTAGTAAACAGGGTAAACCCCACAACATGTGAATGGTGTTCTGGCTTTAGATCCCTTCAAACTACTTAGAAACACCATTTTAATGGGGAAGCTCAAAGGCTGGTATTGGAACATCACCCGGCCACATTTTACTTAAGCAAAAAGAAATGTTCAGCAGAGAACACATATATTATCAATTCTGAGAAAATGAAAACACTCAGGAAACAATCATTTCCATATTACAACAGAAAATTGGATTTTCTGGTGAATAATGAAAATGAGGCATCCCTCCCCCCGTCCTCCTCGCTCTCCAGTATTTGTTCTGTGCCCCTCACCTTGGTATCAATGTGTAAGAGATGATTATTAAGTGCAACAAAGGCCATGGCTATGCACAGTTCTGGAAGATGTCCTAGCCTGTTTTAACTTGGTTATTTTTCCTTCCCCGCAGTCTCTTCAAAGACAACGAAACCTTAGGTGAAATGAGAAGTGCATGAACTACACTAGCCTTGAACTTGCAAAAAAATAATTACTTGGATTAACGCAACATCATAAACATTCATTCCTGGCTGTTAGGCCAGGAGAAACCCTTGGGAGAAGTCTGGTTTCTGGAGAAAAGCCCCGTCCCTCCACTCCTCCTCCACGCCGGCCCTACGTGGTCACGGGCAGAGGATAACAAATTGGGACTAAAACTGCCTCAAGATGAATCCGTTTGTGAGAGACGGAAAGTGTGTCAGGCAACGCTACTTCGGGAGAGATAATTAATACTGCACAAACAATCGCTGGAAAAGCTAAACACCTGATTTGAATGTTTTGAAGTAAATGGTAAAAGACAATGTTTAAATTAATTATTAATTAAAAATTAATGTTGCCATCTTTAAAGATTTTTTTTTTTTTCAAAGTGCTTTGTGCACTGATTTAAAATGCTGCAATATCAAAGTACCTGGAGCCTCAGATTCCTTTGTGCCCCCTCCCCTCTGACAACACATTATGCAGGTGGGAAACTTTTTTGCCATTAAATGCTAATCAGTTTCACAACTAATTACTATCATGGTATTAGGTTAATGTTTTTCTACTTTTTGATTTAGACTTACTTTTGTAAATCCCTTATTCAAATTACTTTGAAGTAAAAGACTACAAATTAGTTCTCCTTTTAATGCGTAATGTGAGCTGTGGCAAGTCAGCCAGTAATTTTACAGCCCTTTTTAAGAACAGGCAGAAGAAAGGCAGCGCGGCTCTCGCACGCGGTCACTCGCACAGGTAGCCAAGCGCTCCGTGGAGTTTTGAGAGAACTGCAAGACTTATAAACTCCAGCTTCCTCGCCAGCCGCCAATTACCCAGTACGTAATTTGAGGGGAGGGGGGGAATTTACAGCTTTGCAAACTCACTCCGTCACCCCATAAATACCGAACACACCCATCGGGGCGTCGCACCCTTCTTGCCTTACCCTTTCCTGCGCCAGCTCGCTGCCCGGGTGCCATTCACATCGAGCAGGGACGGTGATCCCCCAATACTTCATGCGGTTATATACGCACACATTACAGTGCCGTCTGTTGCTATAATGCTCCTATTAATTTTCCTTTTGATATTTTAAGAGCAATCTATAAATCAGGCAGACCTTCACGTGCGCCATCATTAATGCTTAGCAAGACTGTTGCGCGTCGAGTGGGGTTTTTTCAGGCCCGCCAAACAAGCCCATTTCCCAGCTCTGCCCCGCCGGTGCGCTTCTCGCGTGGACCGAAGGGGAGAGAAACCAGATTTTTTTTCTCTAAGAAAGCAGTTGCCTGTGAGGTTTTGCAAAGTTTAAAGAAGAGAACTGCAAACAAGTCAACAATTTTATAGCTCTGTGTGCTTGTCAGACTGGATTGAGCTGACCGGTTTTATGTGGAAGTTGGTCAACGGCCCTTTTATGTTCTAATCAACCTAAGCGTGTCCCCAAACGGAGACGTCTGCTCTTCCTGCTCCATCCGTGAACCTCAGGAACAAACCGCGAAGGCCTCCAGAGCCACGCTCTGGCAGACGTAAGACAACGCCTAGAGCCACGCGCGCGCCTCTGCCGTACTTACATCGCTTGCATAGGGGAACGTCCTGGACTACTGTCACTCCCGTTACTGTTCGTATGCTCCATTGCACCGTTAAGCTCTTCCCTCATCGCGTTGGCTAAATTGCCCAGAGTGGGATTTCCCATGGAAGCAGTAGTGTATAGAGGTATACTGTTCTCAGCCATTGAAGCCTGCCAAGGACACAAACAAATATATGAAGAGCCATGACTAACGTTTTTATCCGTCGCACAACACGCTCACTTATTCCAAAACATTCTCCACATTTACATTATTTGCAATTACCGTTTTTCTAAATACCGTGCTTTCTGACAGGTATTACCCTGATTCCACCAAGGGAAATTTAACATCATTTACATCTGGATTTAAGCATTCATAGCTGTATAGGCTTGTGAGAGGACAGAGCTTTCCATTCCCTATTTGGAATCACACCCCCTGGAAAAAATAAAAGGTCCTTTTCCTATCCTCATTTTGCAAAATTATGTTTGGGGATTTGGGTTTTTTTGTGGCTTAGGTCTGGGTTTGGGTTTTGTTTTTAATGAAATGGGGAAAAAAACTGGAAGCAGCTCAGCTGGTAACTCCTTCCTACCAGAGCAAACGGGCAGCAAGCAGGAGGGCAGCGCTACTGAGCTGGGTTCTGCTCCTGACACGAGTGCGAAGCCGCGGTTAGCACTAACTGGATCAGTCCGAGCTGCACCGATCTACCCCAGAGCTGAACCAGTCCACGTGAAATTTTTTTAGCCTCAGCGACTCAGCTCTCACCTTAGCTATTACAGATCTGACCATTTTATCTCCATTTTCCCTTGTTCTAAAGAAATACCACGCAGAGGCACACTGGAGTTAACTTTCTAAATGGAAATCTTTGTAGGAAGAGAATGAACTGTTAAATATTTTCCTTCTGATTCCCACCGTTCTGCCTGCTAATATTTACTGTGTGTCAGCATTAGCTCATGTTGACGGCACAGTCCTGTGCCCGGCACGGCAGCGGTGGGAGCGCGGAAGCCCCAAGCCCCAGAGGAGCCCCGCGTTTGGTGGGGATGGGATGCATGGCTTTCCAAGGCCGTAGCACCCAGGGACTTGATGGACATTTAACCATTTCACCCACCCTAGCCGGATCTGGCTGACATCATCCGCAGCTCTCTGAGCCGTTCAGCGCCGGAGAGCCACAGACGCTGGCTCCCCCGCAGGGGGAGGTCAGCCGGCTGCAGTGGCGGAGCCAAAAAATCCATCAGACTCCAGGTCTGCATGATGCAAACCCTGCCCGTGGGAGGGGAATTCATGCAAGCGTGCTCCCCACCGAACGCTCTCGCCTGCTCCTAATTCGTGGGACAAAACTCCGTGCTTGTTGCCATCCGAGCCGGCAGAGTTGTTCCCAGGCAAGCACAGCCAGAGACCGGGGACGGGGGGGAGATGGGATGGGAAGGGGGGGCACGACCAGCCCTGACTGCAGCATCTTCAGGAGCACGGCCCCTTTTATTCTTCCTTAGGTTGACCTCTCCATGCACAGCCCTATGTGTCACACGTGATTACAAAAGCTATTCTAACGGGGAGGATTATTTTTATCTTCTTGATTCAACAACCGGCAAACTCATTGTGATTAGGGGATGCAAAGAATGGTTCACATTTCCTGCACTTGGCAAAATAATGACTCAAGTTCTTCACCCATAGTGATAACTTGTAATTGCAGTAAAGCAATTTACTGGGGGAGAGGTGGGACACGAGGAGTATCTGCTATAAAGATAATAACAGGGGAGGGGGGTGTTTTGGGAGCCCCCGGTGACCCGCTGGGAAAAGAGAGCGCTGGGGAGAGCTGGAGTCCCCATACCTTCGGGAAGAAAGCTGCTGCTTCTCCCTGGCCCTGAGGGAAAACAGATGGAGGAGGCATCGGAGGGGTCTGGGTGAAGGATGGGGCGGCTCTGCCACCCCACAGGAGAAGAAAAAGCCAGCCTGGCATCCCGGTGGCAGGCAGCGTGCCGTGCTGTCCCCTGGCCTGCGGAGAGGCAGCCGCTGCGCTCACGGGGATGCGCAAAGAGCCGGTCTTTGCGGATGCCCGCAAAAGTCAGGGGAAGGTTGCTCGTTAATAATTAATTAGACTGAGCGTAGGCATCAGCAGGTAAAGCGGCCTTGTGTCCTAGGAGGAAGGTTATTGCCCGAGCGAGGACCGAAGTGCCCACGCGGCATTGGCCACCCGCACGGCTTCGCCCAAACCCCCATAGAGCGCCTGAGCACCTGCCGGGATCCTGCCTCCAAAACCCAACGGCGGGGAGAGGGGCGCCGGTTTATTTTTGACCTTATCGAGGACCTGTCTCAGTGCAATGAATATTGCTCACCCCCATTTATCACAGGGGCCACACGAGCGGCAGCAAATCTGGCCCAGGCTCTTCTCTCCATCAACTCAGTTCACGCGATGCTACGGAGGGGCACGAGTACGTGCCACTTCCAGGAAAAGTGGGAAATGGAAACGGTTTGGAGGTTATCACAAAAGACAAGAATGGATGGAGATGACGACAATGACACGTGTTTCAGAAATAAAACATGAACAGTTCCGTATGATAAGCATATTAATTGAAATTAGTCACATAGTTAACAATGTGAAGAAATGCAGGATCATTTCGTTTCTGCCTTTCAGCCTCATGAATGTAAAATGGGCTTGTAATCTTAATACTATTCAAGAGACAAAGCAGTCTTTAAAAATCACACATCACAAGACTCAAGGGAAAATAAGTTACTAATGAATGGTATTTACAGTTGCTTCGTTTAAACATGCTTTCATTTGCTTTTCAGAAGTTAACTGCATAAACTCAAATAATTAGAAGAAGTGCAGAACATCGCTTCTCCCCTAATAATCTGTTTCTTGGTTCTGACAAAGAGAAGTCTGCCAAACCTTCCACAAAACACGGTTGCCCAAGCAAATATCCACGGCCATCAGCGAACTTCTCGAGAAGCGACTCTCAACAAACAACTGGGGTGCAACCACGCGCAGTGTTGCCTCCCGGATCAATTCACGCTACATGGAACAGGCTTGAACCCCCACACGAACACGCACCCCCCCTGCAAATTCAGGGCACGGTAATGCATTTGGATCTTTGGTTCAGGTAGCAAAGACTGACTTTACCTGGGGTTTTTGAGATAAGACTCAGGAATTTGTAGAGAGGGGGGAAAAAAATGCCAACCTGATATACGGCACATGAAAAATGGCTGGAGACGCGCACACTTTTAGGCTGCAAGTTATTAATTGTGCGCTGACACTTTGTGTATTTCTACATGGCGAAACCCTAGAATTTTTGTCTTATAGTTACAGTTTAAACCAATAAAAACGATCTTTTTTTTTTTCCTATAGGAATTGCGACGTTTATTTTTTACCAACAATAGGAAGATATGCAAAAATAGCCCTTAAAAGAAAAGGGGGAAAAATGATCTGCTTTCTCTTTAAACCCATGAACAATAGAAGGTCACGTGCCGCAGTATCCTATCATTCAGCACATTAATAGCTGTGCTAGAGTAATTACACTTGTGGTATTTTTGCCTCAAGTGAAATTCTGAAATAAGAGGATGGAAATTATGATACTGCTGATAAATATTAATAAGTGAACTTTTAATTTTTTTGCCACAATATTCAAAATGCTAAGCATCTAGCTAATGCTGAAGCAGCCTGATATGTGTTTGCCTCCAGGGACTATGATGCTTTATGCACTTAAGAAAAAAGTTTAACGGAATTAAAATTTAATATCTAATTAGAGCAAGGCTAATATATTTTGAAATGAGTGGGGAAGACACACGCCTCTGTTGCATATTTGCTACAGTCATTAATCTTACCTGTAAAGCAGCATTGAGAGGTGTGCAGTAGGTGTGGCTGGTCTGTATGTTTTTAATAAGAGAAGGGTTACTGCATAAGAAAAACATAAAAAGGAGAGTTAAATGCAACCAACTTCTGCGCGAGCGTTTCAAGCATGTAATGCTTCCTCCCACACCAGAAAACTAGAGCTGAGACTGTTTTTCCACACAAGTTCGCTTTCATTTCTCTTTTTTTTTTTTTTTGATTTAAAGAAAATATCTGAGTTTTAGGCTACGGTTATCATATTTGCCTTTACTAAATAAGGAACATCATTATCTCTCGACATTACCTCGCCATGTGTTCTACTACCCTGCGTTAGTAGCGCATCTTGGCATCTCTGCTCATTTTAGCTGTGTTCAGGAGAAATTCTCCAATATTCGTCGTGTCTGGGAGCCAGTTACCGTGTAAAGGTCCACGATGAGGAGGCTATGATCAAAAGCATCGCAGGACATTTTAAATACTACTTCATGCAAATTATTCTCCAAGTCGCTGGCAGCAGAGTCCCTCGCAATGGAGCGGAGGGACCGCGACGAGAGAGGATTTGAGCCACGTTATTTCCTGCCAGGCAAATGGTGAGTGGTCCTGGTGAACGACTGCCTATGCCATCGCCCCAAACAGCCTGGGGTTGTGGGCATGGAGGCACGACGGCAGGTACTGCTGCGCCGCAGCGGAACGGTATGGACCACGCCAAACAACATGCTGCCCTAAAGGCTGTTTTAATAAAAAATATTCCACTGTGCTATTTTGGACCCTTACTTTAGTCATCTTAAGTTTACATAAGTGGCCGGATTTGAGGAAAATTAATGCCAAGCATATCTGCTTTCTCTTTAGCGAGCATCTAAATATCACTGATTCCACCAGAGGGGAAAAAAGAATAAAAAAATCATTGCATACAAACTAGATAAAAAAGTGCCAATGCAAGAAATTTCCAAAAAGTTTTATTGCTCACTAGGCATTTTTATTTTTGTTTTTTTCACGTGGGAGTAAATCACAGTGAGAAGAGTCTTAACTGAGACCCTCCCACAGGGACCAGCAAAGATCAGTTGTCCTGGAGAGACGGCCTTCGAGAAAAGGTCAAAGAAAATTGCTTTGGGAACCCCAGGAATATTTGTACACAGTTGTTGTAGACACAGGATGGCCTGCTGATTATAATCTTTACAGCTGGTCTCACCACACTTTCAAACTTTATCAAGTTAATTCAGCGTTTCTGTCTTATAAGCACCTTACACTATTTCTGGTTAAGAGTTGCAAAACAAGGCATACAAGTGAAAGCAAAGGAAAATATCAGAATTAAAACTTATCTGAAGCCTTTCCTGGCATATATCTGTCTTCCTGACAGGCCTACAGCAGCATATCTACACTAGCGTGGATAATTATTTTAGTCTACATTGCACTATAAACAAATGCTGTAACAAACATGTCAAAGTAGAGTTACTACTACAGGCATTTGGATTATCAGAGTAGGACACACAAAATACACATAACAACCAAAAACTTAGTTTCTTTAGCAGCAAAGGTGATGTCACTATTTTGTGAAATGCAAGTCTACATGAGATGGGTAAATCATGCAAAGCAAAGCAACAGCAGAAAAAAAAAATTAAAGCAAGTAAAAGCTCTTACTGTGCAACAAGCTCGCCAAAGTTTTCATCAGGGCAGTATTTTCGAGGACGGCCTCGTTGAATATGACGGCCACGTTTAAACTCTTCATCATCAACAGTCCAAAAGGACCCAAACTCATCCTCTACTCTGATAAAGCACTTATGCAGTGAGAGGTTGGTGCGAATGGCACCCTGGGACAAGAGCAGCAGCAAAGGAGATGAAGTGGAAACAAAGGGACACGGGATCGGGGACAGAACAGACATCAAATACAGGGAAAAGGAAAAAGAAAATAAAATGCAATAAGCATAAGCAAATGGTTTGTGAGGGTTAATATGCATTGCCACCTAAAAGCTACTAGCATGTGATGCAACAAACACCAAGCAAGCAGGGTCAGGGTACTGGTGGGCATACAAACAGTAGTGATGAGATGTTTGTCTTGGTTTCCCTTAACTGAAACAATGCGAAACCACCTGTGGTTGGTCTAACACCAGCTAGCAGCCAAAAGCCTCTACGTTAAACTGTAAGCATGATCCAAGCTAGGCTAAGAAGTTCAAACATGGTGGACATACCCACTGATCTTTTGTGGCCTTCGTTTTTGGAACTCTAGTTCATCCACTGTCCATACTGCCCCTTTAACGTTTTCTACTCGCACAAAACACTTGTGAAGACTAAGATTATGACGCACTGCATTCTGCAGCAAGTATAAAAGAGAAAACATTCAAAAACTTTCTATGAGAAAATGCTCATCATTGTCCAAGAACAGCAGCACAGTCAGCTTGACAGTCCTCATTTTGCAATGTTAAGCCCCTTCCCCTCCCCGCACCCGCTTGCTTTCCCCGGCTCTTTACATCTTATTTTTGCAAAGACAAAATAAATATAAAAGCTTAAACCCAAGATTAGAAATTCAAGTTATTCTTATCAATTATCCCCAGTGTGAATGAGAAGAGCCATCATTTTAAGCATGCATGTTGTATAATACAGCACATTTCATACAGAACACAAGAGGAACATTGCTTAAACATTTTCAAAACGAATATACACGCTCTGCAAAGAGAAACTTGTCCTCTCCTGGAAAAGAAAGCAGTTAGAAAGAACAGAAAGGATTTCATCTAAGTACAGACGGCTCAGTTTAGCAGAGAGGCACCGGAGCTGGTGTTGCTGCAGTTTCCCACAGCTGGGCTAATGCGAATCAGGTGCTGAACCTCCTTCCACACCCGCAGCACGGACCGGGGGCTCGAGGGCTCGGCAGCACCCCACCGGCCAGCACGGCACCGACTCCTGCCTCCACGGCTTGCTCTTATATGGAAGTTGGCTCCTATTTCTGGCAGACTACCGTACTGACTGATCTGAGCCTCTGCCAAGTGAAAACATGAGGAGGGCTCTCCGAAACAAAGTGATAATATCCCCACAGCTCATCACCCAGAGGGACCCGCGCTCATGGCATCCGATGCTCAGATGTCCTCTCTGCAGCCAGGGAAGGATGAGCCTGGCCAACCCCTCCGACGTGCTCGGACCTTTGCTGAAGCCAGACATCATGAGACACCTCGCTCTGTCACGGCAAGCTGTGGCTTTTCTGTCCCCGCTCCCTCTGAAACGGCGCCAAGAGCCTTGTTGTTCCTCAAATGGAGCGCCATGCTCCTTCCCCGTTTTATGAGTTTTCTGAGCAAATACCCTACCACAAAGCCACTCGGATTCGTACATGGGGCTTGTCCCCAGCACCGCTGAAAGGGGCTTGGTAAACAGGGAAAACAGAAGAAGCCATTTGCTGAAAATATGCAGGCGAACAAACTCCATCCATCATCACTGGCACCATTGATTTAGTCAATCTGGTTGACTCGTTAGCAGGCACAATGCCAGCCAAACACATGGCCTGGGTCTAGGCAACCAAGAGACTACAATTTTTTTCCTTCCGTTGTCATCTTTTTTTTTTTTTTTTTTTTTTTAATGAACATCGGGTCTAGGATGGTGAAAGGGAGCTCTAATCATGAATGTCTAAATCACTGTGCAAACAAAGGGTACGCACAGTGCATTTGTCATGTAAATTAAGAGGCAGCGGTGTGTGTGCCTGGGAGGGGAAGGCTAAGAGTCTTTTGCTACTTTTCCATTTCTCTGCAATTGCTAGCGCAGTCCCCACACTCCCATCCCTGGTACGGGGGAAGAGTCAGGGCTCAAAATGCCTTTTCCCAGCAGACGCCTGAGTGCAGACGCCTCTCCTCTGGCTGTAGGTGCCCAATCCCGGCTCTGTGGCAGGGTCCGGGCGCTTCGGCTTTTCCACACTGATCTGCTTGTGAACTGGTGGAAAAATACACCTTGAACACGCTTTTCTTCTCACCAAGGCAGAAGTCTAGCTGAAAGTCAACCTGTCCATCAGCGCTGCTTCTTTCTGCCCTTACTTTCTTCTGTTCTTATTTTTTAATTTTTTTTTTTTTTTTTTTGGTTGTTCCCTCCCACCTCTCCCAGATTTCACTAGTTTTGAAATTTTTGGCAAAATCCCTGATTTTGAGGTAGAGGAAAAACACGCTAGCGCCTCACACCTTACGGGCAAAAATCAGCTAGCTCAGCAACTGCTGGTGGGTGCTGTACTAGTGCAACCCGACACAGGGCTGCCGGCCCACATCTGGGTAACTCAGGCAGTTTCCTGTGAAAATGGGAACACTGTCAAGTCTGGAGCAAAATGTAAGAATAATAACGCTATTTCCCCCAGTGAAAGCTGATCTTGTAGTTCATACAGCAGTTGATCAAACGCACACAGCAAAGTTCAGCGAAGCGAGTCCTCGGAGTTTGTAAATAGTCTCTAAATACACGGTTGAGCAGAAATATTTGTGTTCTTCTTTAAATAAATTTAATGCCGGAGAAATACTTTACAGTCTGTTCGTGCTCTCTTGAAGTCAATGTGCAATTGATGGTTAATGCTGCTGGATGGGGCTCTTGCCGAATACATTGAGACAGACGAGTATTTGCAAGATGTCCAAGAAGTGTTGCCCTCGCTTTCTATTTTCCATGTGATCACTTATTTAAGGAATTCATGGCAGAAAAAAATTGTTTTGTTCCCCCTGCCTCTGGATACTTGCTATCTAACAGTTTTATTTGAACAATACCCCCACGTTTCGGAGCCACACCTGCAGCCTGTGCCTCATGGCTGCGACTCAGTGCCAGCAAATTACTCCAAAAAATAAAAGCAAACAGACATTGCCTCTGACCTGTCAGAACCAGTTCACAGTGCTCCCCCAGCAATCAGCTTAACAGAAAAATTAGGAGCTATTATTGTAAGATTATATATTTACCTTGTTAAAAATATTTGTATGCAAGCCACTTTTGCAGAAAAATTACCCTGAACATGTTTGAATGTAGTAAATGAAAGGGTTTGTTATTTTAATAACCGCTCAGGCTCTGCTGTACTGCATTTTGGGAGAGAGGTTCATTTTTTAAAGGTCTTTATTCCTGCACTCTTCTGTGTTTTTTGAAACAGGGCTCAGGGAAGCTTGCCCACACCAAACCCTGACCCTAAACTTGGGGAACACTGACCCAATGCCCCCTAAGCATTAGCTGAAGGTGAGCGCAAATCAGCACGTATATATTCAAATTATTCTGATTCTGCAATTAGCCCCTCGTGCTTGTTCTGCGCCCCGTGGGCTTCCCCTCATGCCAATCCAGAGCTGCATTTTCATCCCTGCTGTTCCTGAAGGCTGGCATAAATCTGAGCAGTCTTCAGCAGGAAAACCTCCATTACTTCGAGCGGTTGCCAATTTTGCCAGCGCTGGTGGAACTTGGGGTGAAGCCTCTCTTCACGGGTAGGTGAAGCAGGACCTGGACACCTGCACAAGGTCAAGGTATCCAGGAGGGGCCTCTAAATGGTACCTGCCTCGCCGGGACACACCTTGCCCTTCTGCAAGCCCCAGGGTCTGCAGCTCAGCCTCTCTCCTCCTCCTCTGCAGAAGCACACTGTAAGTGCACGTGGCTTCTGGGATTGCATTTTACGTGATGCACAAAGCTAATTCCTAAAACTAGCCCTGCAGGAGATATGGCCAGGGCTGCCTGCTGCCTTCTTCCACTCCTCCCTCCACTTCCCTTCCCTTTGCTGCTGGAATTAAATAGGATTTTTACTTTAGCACCCACACCTGCAGCTGCTGAAAAGTCCTACTGGAACCACGCCAGCAGCAAGAGACAGGCAGGTCTAAAAGGATCTTAAATCAGGGAAAGTTAATTTCCTTTCTGGATAGTAAGGAAGCTGCAAAGCGAAACGCTGCTCATGTTTTCCAACTGCAGTGAAGAATCAAAGCAGCAATCACAAGACTTTTCCTGAACCTAAGAGCTTCTAGACCAAGGTTGAAAATGTACAAAATTGCACTGGGATCTGAATTAAACGTGAAACATGCTACTAAAAAACAAGCTAACTTCCAAGGACCATTTTTAGCTTCATCCTCGGAAGGAATTAATCCTAAACGCAGGCTGAGACAGGAAAAACAGAAGGAGCTGATGAAACAGCATGTATGGGACATATTCATCCTACCTGGTCATTTGCAGTCGTTTGAGAGCAACAGAGTTGTCTAGATTAAGAGAGGCTCAAAGTACCGGGGGTGCAATTTTTACAGCGATACAAGATCCTACTATTTGATTCATTCCTTTGTAATTGCACTAGCTTCAGAAGCCAGTGCGGCTATTGTAATGGTAGATATAAGGGAAGGAGTGTCCCCCCAAAAATAACATAAAATAAAATAAACTCCCCAGACCGACCTCTTATCTAACAGTATCTGAGATGATTGTGGTAGGAGATTAAAGTGCCAAATATCAAGTTTATTTTTCTTAAACACAATTCTTATTGTGGGGCTTGCTTCTTGCCTAATATGTTCAATAAACTTCTGCTGTGTGATTTAAAAAAAAAAACACCAAAAGGAAGTTTATAACAGATCTGTATATGTAGTTGAGAGTCAATTGATTGAGGAAAGAAATCCACTTATCTATAGATCCTAAGGAAAAAAAGCGGTGGTTGTGATTACAGTCTGCATAACTAAAAGGACAAGCAGCGTATCTTCTACTGACACAATAACTTTACCTCTTTCTTTTATTTTTCTAATATGTTCCAGCTGAAGGGCTTGAGTTTCACTGCTAGCAGCAACCACACAGAGGAACTCGTGGCATAAACACAGAACACAAAAGCCAATAATGGGGATTCAATTAGTGGTTTCCAAAGGCAGAAGAATTTTTCTGCCAAATATCAAATTGTTCCCGCAGATAAGGCACCCAGGGTGTGTCAGAACTGCCGATCTAAATTTTCATGTCCGCACGTCGTTACAATTTGTTGTGTCATCAGCAATGTCTATTCTCTACACGTCAGATATCAAAGGCAGGAGGCACAGGCGGGCTAAGGCTTACCTTCCACGTCGCCGCGTTGCGCCTGAAGTAAGCAAACATTCGCGTGAACCAGTTGTAGATTTCATTTAGTGTTAGCTGTTTTTCTGGAGATTCGAGGATGGCCTTGTGAAGCAAAGCGATTGCAAGATCAGTTACGAGCGCGCCAGTACAGAATACACTCACAGTTTTACTTTACCAAATACGAAAAGGAAAGAAAGGAAGAAAGAAAGAAAGGAAGAGGAGATTTGGAGGAAAAAATCCGAAGGAGGGTTTTCACAATACGAACTAAGATTAATGGCTGTATTTAACAGTTCAATGGCAAAATTCAAAATGGAATTATCTAATTGTTTTGAGTTTTTATTTCTGTTTCCTTACAGAAATATTAATTTATTAGTCATTCATAAAGCAGAATCAAAGAGAAATGCAAAACATTTCACTAGCTGATTAAAGCTCAGTAATTATTTAGAGCTCAGATTAATTCTAGGGATCAGAGATTACTGTAGCTTGTGATAATTGACTTGCCATCTTTAAACAGGCTCATTTTCACTGTTGTGTGAAATGAATTTCCTAATAATCACATCGTATTGTAATACTTAATCAAAAGCAATTATGTTATATATTGCAGTTCTAAAAACCCTTATAGTAAAGGTTTGAGCATTTGAGCACGCTTACATACCAAAGGTTTGAAAATCTATTTAATCCAGAGTGTGCACATATAGGGAGATATTTTTTTTCTAATCCAAAGGCGTGTGTTTGGCTCAGCTTACCTGTCTAATTAAAGATGCATACGTGAATGGTGGTCTAACTTCTGCGTTCTTATAAAATTCTTGGTTCTGGGCAATATCTGCTAAATAAGAGCAGTTGTCCTGTTACCAACACAGCCTGCCGCTGCCGGGCTGCGGGCCGCAGCAAGCCGCCCCAGCAAAGGGGCTGCGCCACCAGAACCCCTTTACCTGAAGAAATGGGGACGTTGTATTTATCCGAGTACCGCCTCCGGATGGGTCCGACGTTGTGCATGCTCGTGGTAGTGATGACCGACGGTCCCTGCGTGACGGGAGTGATGGGCGCAGTCGGGGTGGTGGGAGTATGAGGTAAGCTCTGCGGAGATGCCTCGGATGCAGTCTTGGAAAGCGTGACGCTCGATACCAGATTCAGCTGCGGAGGGAAGGACGAGGATTTTGTTACAAACAGCACTGCTGGCTAATTAAGGGCTGCAGAGAAAATTCGCGATACGGAGTCTTCCTCAGTTCGAAGCAGACAATGCAGCCCAAGCGCTCGCTTCAGCACAAAGTGCTGCTGTAACACCTCCATGAGGAGCCAATAAATAAATATATACATTTCCAAATAGATTTTAAAAGAAGAATAACGTGGCCTGCTGCCCAAACTACAAATCATGGATTTTTAGCTAAACCTTAAAACAAGACCTCACGCAGTACATAACCATTTTAGTATTTTATTTTAGTTCCATTGTTTCACAGTCCAAACCCCACGCATCTCTTATTTCCATGCTATCATTATGCATGGCTTCTAATCAGAATTCCTGGATATTTCATTGAAGGCATCAGGCTTAAAATAAAAGGCAAGACCTTCCTAGGGACATACTAGGGAGAAATGCAATCCCTCTCTTCAGCATTGGGCCTTTCTCCCCCCACCCCCAGCTCTGTTCTTCCCTTTTAAAAGCAAAGCCCGGAGTAGGTTAACACTGAAATCATTTAATTAATCACACTGCATGAAATACTGCAAGCATTCAGCCCAGCAGAAGTGGCACCGCTCTTTTTTTTCCTCCTAGGACAGAAGGCATCAGCGTTACCTGCACGAAGCCCAGCCCCGGACAAATGGCAGCTTGCCACAGCAAGCTGTAAAACACAACTGCTTCTAGGATTGTGTACCAAACCCAGCTCCAACTCACGTGTTTTCGATACACAACCCTATTTATATAACCAGCATCCACATTCCTCCCCGACCCTTTCTTTTTGCCCTACAACGTCCTTTGAACGACGATGCTCCGTCTCAATAGGTCACTCCCGCTGAAGTATTTTAAACAAACAATCCGATCTCTTAACTACAACATCAGAAAAGACGACTGAGAAAAGGGCTCTCTGACTACTTCCACATTTCCCTCCCTTAGGCGGTTTTGCGAATAATGTTGGTGAAATCCTGACCCCATTGAAGTCGGTAGCAAAATTCCTACTGAATTTAACAGGGCCAGAATTTTACAACTTTTGTTCGTGATTAAAATTCCTTTTTGCTGGATGTTAAACCTTTTCAGGTGAAGGCAAGGCGCGCTACCCAGCTATGCCCCCAAACATCTCGTGTTTATCCGTAAGGCACTGTATTATTTCTCCTCGTATGAAAGTAATCAGGTAAGAAAACTCCTGTTAGCATCCCTCATATGAGTTAATAGCCACAAATAACGTTTCTTTATGAAAGTAATAGGATTTATCCAAAGCAAAGGCAGTGGAAGACAAAGGGCTCTAACATTACGGAAAGGATACCAACACAAAAAGCCCATCGCCCGCAGAAAGGGCGCAGCTGAGCGACAGATAAATTGTGATTGCTTTTCCCTCCCGACGGTGAGACGGAGCAAGCCGAGGGAAGCCCCAGTCACAGCGCCCGGTGCTGTACGGCTGCGCCGGAGCGCCGGCAGCTCGAGCACTGCTCCCAGGAAAGGAGGTGGTGAGCGGCAGCCCTGCGAACGCCCATCCTTCCGCGCAGGTGCTCACAGGCCATGCTTCGCCTTCCAGCGGGAAATATTTAACACTTCGTGGCGAGGCCGGAGGATGCGAACCCAGCGAGGGATCGCGAAAGGCGGTGAGATGTGGCTATTGATTTCCCAGAACCTCCCGCACCGGCGTGAACTGCTAAATGCAACCTGGAGATGAGCACGCTCGTTCAAACGCCGCGGCGCTGGGCACTGCCGCCACGTGCCGCCACTGAGAGCCCAGCCCGTTTGTTGACCGGCGTGATTTAAGGACACTGATTAGGGACACATCTATAGTAATGTCTCCCTGTTATCCATCTATCCATCTATTCCATATGAGAAAAGGACCAGTGACGATAATAACAGTACAACTGACAGGTCTCACCATGAAATTAAATCTACTGTACTTTATCTCGGTTTCTAAATGGACATTTTAACAGCCCAATAACTGCGAGCAAATCTGCATCAATTTTAAGTGCCCGTCTCTAGCAGAGGCTCGGCAGCCAGGCCCTCCTGTTGGAAAGATCACTGCTCGTGCTTCATCATTACGGCTCCAACTACTCCATTTCAAAAGAGTCCCCTTCCTTTTTTAGTGCGTAAAAAACTTAACATTTAATCTGCTTCTACTAGGAAACTGCGAGAAAGGATCCACAAAGGTCAGCGCTCCCTGCTTAAAGAATTTGAATCGAGTTAAATTTCTTCAGGCTTTTCAGCGTAGGTAGCAACTAGGAATAAACACAGGAGAGGACGAGCAAAGGGGGGGGCTTTAACAGGCTTGACAAATGACACTGTGATTCACACCCACTGCTGGGCTGCCACTAATAAGCTACAGAGGAAGCAGCCAATCTCAGCTAATTACCAGATAAAATTGTATTGTAAGGACTCTAATTAGGAGATGCTTATGGAGGTGATCTAATGATTAAACGCTGCATCCGAGTGACCCCAGCATCAATGTGCAGTGGTGCAAGATGTCACCGGAATATTTTGTAGAAACAGTAATTTTATTTCAAGGAGGGGAGGCAGTAATATTTGTAATAATGGCTATGAGGTAAACTAATTAAAAGACAGTTCCTAAAGGAAGACTGTGGCTTTGAGCAGCTGTGGCCGTTCCAAAACAAAGTGCCAAATCTCAACAGAGGAGCTGCAGTCAAGTGGAAAATTTCTGCCTGACCTCTGCTCTCGCTATTAATTTGCAGGAAAACTAATGACACATATACATATTCCCACAAAATTGTTCTAATTGCTAATTTGCCAAAGGAGCCCAGTTTCCAAATTAAACATGACTGCAGTCTGTGAGGAAAGAGAGAACAAAAAGCTGGAACGCAGCGAGTCTGCTGCGTTTCACCTCCGACGACCATTTGCGAGCCTGAACCAACAAGTTAATGAAACACGACCTTGTCGATCGCTAGCGAAGTTTTTCCTTTTTCCGTGTTTTATTTGATGACACTCTCTCCTCTTCCAGCCAGGGTCTGATCCCTGCCGACGCGGTTACCAAAACACAAGCGAGGGTAAGGGAGGAGAGGGCTGCGCTCCCTCCACAGACCTTCGCCGCTGCTTTCTTTGTTGCATCTATAGCGCAAGGGCTGAAAAATCGGTTGTGAATTAGAGCAGAATAACAAATTATGAATGGTGTTGGTTTTGTTGCCGTCTTGAAATATTAATCTGAATGGTAAACTATTAAATCTTAACACTGGCGTCAATTAGAAACGTGAAAGCGGCCGTGGATGATTGCGCAGGGCAAAGATCAGGGAGGGACCGGGCTGGGAGGGTTTCTTTTCCTGATGGAAACTCGACACGGTTTCTCCCTGTTTGTATTTTCTATTTAAAACCAAGTTACTATGATTAGAAAAGTCGCTCGCCTTGGTATTTTGCAAACAGCCTGTTTCCCACATACTGTAATTTTTGGATGAGGTATCACTGCTGTCAGAGGGGAGGGAGCCCAAGTCACGGAGTTAGCGCTTTAATGAGCAAGACCTCTTGCACTGCAGCAAGGCGCAACGTGGGGCACTCTCCAAGCACGCCGCAGAGCACAGCCCTTGCACCAAAGAGTTAAATGGGTTTGTAATGTTTGTACTGGGGATGGGGGGAGGGAGGATTTCCTCCAGCCTTAAAAAACCCCACAAACAACAAAAACCCCAAAAACAAGAAGGGGGGAAAGAAACCCCAACAGTAAAAGAACCAAACCCCACACATTTTAGGTCCTAAAATTCTGCAAGTTCAATCACTGAACCTCGTTGGATGCTTTGTTCAAGTTTTGGGGTTTGGAGATCATTTCCTCGTACTGTTTTAACTTCATCAAAAATGCCCCAATTGTTTCAGCGTTCAATATCCTGCTTAGGATTTTATTATTAACCTTCCCTTTCAAGAAATAGTCATGTCTTCCTATTAAAGGTGAAGACTGAGTCATTTTCTTTTTTTTCTTTAGATATAAACAAGGCAGAGAGGTAACCCTCTCCTTCACCCTGTAAAATAGATTTCCAGTAAGTGGCTCTCCCACTAGGGCTAAGTCTGATTTCTTTTTGTGTAAACATTTTACATGACAATAGTGGCTGCACATAAAAAAGCCCCTGAAACTCTTTTAAAAAAGAAAAAAAAGAAAAATACATATATTTCTAAGTGTCACGGTGGGGCCATACCCACTGCTGCAGGGCAGCGACTCCTCCGCGACGGATGCTGCTGCTCTGGTCCCAACTAGGGCTGAGGATTTATCTGCACCGAGCTCCTGGGACTGAGACACGCTGCAGCAAAGACTCCTTTTCTTTACGCTCAGGGTGAGAGAGAAAGCTAACGCTGGGCCTAAAACTACGTTAAATGCTGTGTCTTCCTCTCCCGCTTCAGCCTGGACACATTAGTGTGTAAGATGCAGAGCCTGGCAGGCAGCAATCACTTAGCAGGTGTTGTTATTGGCAGGAATACTAAGGAAACCGAAGCTGAGGAGTGAGACTTAATGAAAACCAGTATATAAAAACAGCTTTTGTTGTGCTTGAGAATCTCTCTTTATTGCTGCGTATCGTTATTTTTTCAAACTATAAAGTACGGCTACAGCAGCTAAAATGCTCAGTCATTACCTCAACAGTTAAAAGACTATTTTTTTTTTTAATGCTTTATTATTACAGTTGCTAAAAACAGTATTCCAAAACAATCGTAACTGCTATGGTTAGGGTAAAAAAAACACATTAAAGAAGGGATATCTAACAGCGCATTTCATTTGAAGTGCCAAAAGTTTCTTTAAAAGTTTTCTGTCTATTTTTAAAAGATGACTCTAGCACCTAGTATGCAGAATTACTTGTTGGTTGATGCTTTTTCCTTTTTCTTCCCTTCCTATGAACTTTGACATAAGTTAATCCCCCCAAAGAAAGCACATTTCCATTTCAACCTATTATGCTGATCACTAACACCAATGAAAATACCATGTAGGGCAAGGTATCTTAATAGCAAATCCAGAATGAAAATTCTTGAGAAATTGTTGTTCTGGCTTTTGTGTGGTGGGTTTGGTTTTGTTTGTTTGGTTTTGTGGGTTTTTTTTTTTTTTTTTTTTTTTAAATCCTTGAAAAAAATTCACCTTACAAAAATATGTCACAGGATATTCCTTCACAGACTGCTTTGTTGTCACTTTATTTAGGCCTTCAGTCTCACCAAAACAAGACATGTAGCAGTAATCAGAACAACTTTGCGTGCTCCAAGCATTAAGTTGTGAGATACTTCCATTTTCTTTTAAAGCGCTGCACCACTGGGCATTTTCATTATAAAGTCAGACATTTCTAAAGACGGCATTTAGCACCGCCCCAGCTCATGATGTGTCTCCTTCCCCAGCCCCTCCTGCCTGCCCCACGGCTCCTCGGGAGCAAGGCAAGAGCTGCCCTTTGCCGTACACCAGACATCAAGAGCCACCTCCCCGCGCACGCACCTATCCGCCAACGGCTTAGGCCATCCACCACGACACTATGTAAGAACATGTTTACATCTCATCGACTTTAATAGGACTAAAGAGCTTTGTGAAACAGATATCTTGGTGGAGCGTTGTAGTGAAAGGCACGGGCCCCTCCACCGCCCTTCCCAAGGTCAAACTTACTGCAAGGAGCTAAAGCCACCCAAAGGTGGGGGTGCGATGGATGGACGGGGCTAGACTGGACAAGCTATCCTTCCCTGAAACTGGGCGAGTTTTGAATCGATGTACAACTACCAACAACCTGGCTGTGGTCCAACCGGTCCAAAACCACCCGCTCAAGCTGCTGCCTGAAGCCCAAAAGGAAAAAGACCGTGCCAACGGCCAGTGTGGGTTACAAATGGCACGTGGTTAACACTCAGTCACCAATTTTACGTGCCAGTAACAGAACAGTTTACAAACAAGCATTAAGATCCTTTAAGCAGAATAAATACGTTCCTCAGTCATGAAAAGGCTGTAATTTTAAATCCCAATTCACCGCTATGTTTGGATTCGCAGCCGCTCTTTCCTTTAAAATCACCGATGGACCGTAATGTATTAATTCTAACATACACCTTGCATTAGTTATGTTGGCAAAAAAAAATTAATTACTGGATGTAAAGAATACTTTGCACTGCAATAATGGTCATCAGATCTTTTTACCAAAGTCCTATCCCACTGAGTTAAAAGGACTAGGGTCTAGCACAGTCTAGGCAGCGCCTGTGTATTTTTTTCACTAGGACAGCACGATTTATGCAAAACACTATACTTCTACATTTTATAATTAATTTTCAAATGCTTCACCTATACATATTTTAATAATTTCTGATTTATCAGATGGTATCTATAATAAATTTTTCTATATTTCAATAAATGAAAAGAAGGCAGCTTCAATCCAACAACAGAGTGCCACACAATATAGGCCTGTCAGGCACCAATTTTTACTTCTAACGTGTAAGTTAAAGGATAAGGAATTTATAATGCTGCCTGTGAACGAAACCACTTTTCATACACAAATGTGATCTTTTTTTTTTCCAAAGGGTAATACAACAGTACATTTACATAAACTAATCCAAACAATCTATGTATTTGACAATGGCAAACCTCACACAGACTGCCTATTGTTGGTTTACATCTTGGAGTTCTTTATGTTGGCTTGTAACACTGCTCTAGCTGTCAAAGGTTTGACTTGGACTCTAAATAAATGGTTATAGAAGTGCTGTGCAGCGATATTGGACTTCTTTGCAAAAGAAAACCTGCTGTGTATGAATTCAAAAGCTATTAATTTTTCAGTCAAAAATATTCATGCCTATTTCTTTTAATAAAGAAACACTGTGCTGAGCAACTGAGAGATAATGTTGACTAGTGGTGCAGAATTTTCAATAGAGCAGTTAAAAATAAATTTAGTAGGAGGTCCCCAACAAAGCTATAATTTTCCAGAATGTAAAACATTTTTAATACTAATCAAGACAGCCCTTTTCCCCCTGCGTTCACCGGGGTTTTTTTCTTTTTTTTTTTTCCTTTCCCCCCACTGCTTTTCCCTGTTTATTAGCTGTTAACACTAATCTTCATGGCGACACCGCCTGGTATCTCCCTAGCCTACAACACCCGCGAAAGCTTCCTGCCCTCCGCGGCTGAGCATCGATCACGAGCTGCCTTGCCAAACGCCGCTCGCCTTCTTATGATTTCCTCCCTTTAGTTTTTAATCCTTCCTCCTGAGGGGCACCGCTGTTATGAAAGGCCTCAAGGCAGAGAGCTTTGAGACTCCCAGATTATTCCGCTGTTTTAATTTTTAATCCAGTAAGAGCTATAGAAACCAAACCTCCTCCCCATTCTGTTGGGTCTACATGCTTTGCCAACAATGCGCTGAAGCATTTGCATTCAGGCTGAGATGGATGCAAGGAACTAGAAGAATGCTATTTTTATAGACACTGTAAGTAGTTACTACTCTAGAGGGCTGGTATCCACCGGATCAGGCAATTTTTGGCATCTCAACAGCTTAAATGGAAGGGTTTATACCTACCACTCAACTCTCTCCAAGAAGGCACCGAAATTTCCCGTTGACTTTGACATCTGCTCCAGTGTTGCTGAATAGCCTGCAATTTTCTGTCTAGTAGCCTCCCTATGCACTTCTGCAGCCATTTATTTCCAACTACATGGAAACTGAGAAATCCTTTTCTAGTAAAAATGGGTGCGCGAAGTGTTTAATGATTTTATGTTCTCTATCTCTGTAATGTGTTCTGTTTCAGACATTAATTTTGTCTACCAACTGCATCTTGGCAGGCTACCATATTTGCTGGGTTAATAGTCTGACTCCTTTTTATTTCTATCACCACAAATCACACATATATGGGTGTGTGTTTGCTTTATTTATAGAAAAAAAATCAGTCAAAACAGATAAACCAATACTTTGTCATTATGCTGCATCATTGCATATTGATTAAAATTGCTAGTACTAACTATAGATTGTCAACGCTCAATTAATTTTCACACAATGACTCAAAGCAAAATCAAATAAAGCCAGTGTACCTTTAAATCTTACAAATCTTAAAATCAAGAAGCAAAGCACTCTCTCCTTTTTGAATAATCATTGGAAGCTCTGAGGAACATTTTCAGTGTGGAGAGGTTGGCAGAAAACAACAGCTGAAGAAGAGTCATTTTGGTCAGGGAACAAGATGGTGGATTTGCCTGGGTTTGGGGGTACCCAGGACCTGCCTCGGGCTGCAAAGCCATTTGCTTGCCCGCACCCCCCCTTTTTTAAAGGGCAAACTGGGGCAGAGAAGGTTTCCCTTCTCAGTTTCAACAGTGTAAAACCTGATACCGGGTAACCGTGATTACCATAAAAACATGCAGCTAGAGTCTCTTCTACTGTAAATGGCTGTCAGACAGGGAGAAAGCAAAATAAATATACGAAATATAATTTAATTACATCCCCTGCCTAACACTTCCTAAGATTTCATGCAAGTCGGACTGATGCAAGGCGACTTACAGGCTAGTACGTGAGGCCAGAAAAAGGCCCAAAGCATCAGCTTTAGAGCAAAACTTCTTTCAAACTCCCTGAAGAGAGGGGGACGACGAAACCCGGGTGCCCGTGGCGGTGCCTCCTGCAGAGCACCGCTTTGCATCTCCTCACCGCGACCGGCTCCGAAGCGGGCCACGCTTCGCATCACGCGCTCCGGTGGGGAACAGGAAAGAGAGGTTTACTGTGAGGTTTTGTTTGCTTTCGGCACAGTTCGGTACTTACGGGCTGAGGGGTGGCTTTTGGTTCAGTTGACTTCACATGCAGGTGTGTCATCATGGCTTGCAGGCGCTCTTTATCTTTTGCAAGCTGAAAGGGGGGAAAAAAAACATCCTCTGTTACTCGTACGAATAAAACCCAGCCTCTACTTATTCCTAATTAAACAGCTGGCACCGAGGCATGAGACAGAAGAGTTTTATTGCTGAGTAGTTTGGAAATTGTATATGGTCTGTTCGTGAGGTAAAGCTAACGCGTGGTGCTGGGTGTCACTATTTCCCAAAGCAAAATGCATTAGCCCTCGAGTGAGAAGAGCTAGACCTGCCGGCACCAAGAGCTTCACTCTAGCCCTGACAGCTAAAAGACAACAGTGAATCATGTTTATTAACCAGCCCCGCTCCAGCTCAGGAGGCGCGGCAGAAAGCAAGCAAGGCAGCGGCCCCGAGATGCGTTTGCCTCCTTTCAGACCAGAAAGCAAGCGGCACAAATGGACCGTGGCTTTTATGTCACGTACACGCTCTGCAGCACGTGCAGTGAGCGCAGAGACGGCAGTGGGTAAACCACACGATGCACCTCCGCGGGGCATGGCGGGCGGCCACGGCTCTAGAAAACGCCCTGCTTTTACTGGAGAAGGTGGCACGGCCCCTCGGCAGGTCAGCCAGGCTGGGAACCTGAGCAGGGGCACCCTGAGCGCGGGGCAGGAGCAGCAGGGTGAGCTGCCAGCATCCCTTTGGCATACGCCTGAGGGCAGCAGGGTGGGAAAGGCTAACAACATCGGGAACCGCCCCAGAGCCCTCATCTCAGGGCACACAAGGCCACGGGACCGATGCTTTCACCCTTTCTCATCGGTCACATCGTGCCCAAGAGTTGGGGCAAAGCTGCTGCTCCAGATGTCTCTTGCATTTTTTGGTTGAGATCTGCACCAGGCCGCAGCTGGTGTCTCAGGATCACACCGCACGCATCCTTGGCCAGGACGGCTTCCCAATGCATTTCACTGCACTGGACAGACACCAAATCTCATTATTTTTGTAAACAAGAAATTTTTTTGTACGTGCGAATAGGACTTTTTCCAGCTGCTCTTCAAAAAAAATACCGTGGAAAGATATTAAGAAATAACGCTAATGTAAAAGGCGTGTTATTAACCTACATGCCCAACATAAAGGCTCCTGTTTCCAGCAGGACTTGGATCAGGTTCTTACAAATGACAATTTTTGCAGAGCAGAGTTTTTACTTCAGACAAGCCAGATTCCTGGTGCCAAGAGGAGAACTGTGCTCGCATTCCAGCAAAGCTTTAAATAACCTGCCCACCTTATCACCGTCATCTGTTTGTAGCAGCAAAGTTGGGCTAAGTGTATATAAAAGGAGACTTGGTCATAAATCCCCATTCATAACCTTACAGTCAAGGTTGTCTTGCTCTTCACGAGGTGAGGGGTTTCTGACCATGCCAGAAAGGCGTCATGATGGGATAAAACTTGGCACACGGGTTTCCAAGGCAGGAATTAAATAAAGGAAAAAATAGTGTCACCACTGCGTGCTCTGGAAGGGCAAAAGCAAAAATCACTGGGCTTTTCAAAGAGCTGCTCTTTTCTTGGTCAAAAATCTCAATGGCCAGAGAGAAAACCTGACACCTACAGCAGATCTCCTGCAATCTCATCACCAGATCTGCGCCGGACTTCACAGAAGAGCCAAAGGGCAGCGACAGGCTCTTATTGCAGCACTGCAGCAGAAACTTCTCCCTCTGAGAGTCCTCTGAGGACCTCTTCAGAGAAAGGAGAGGTCTCACGCCTCAGCTGCTGTGCTTCACACAAAACAAATTAAAACCGAGAAATAGTCATACTCTCAGTGCAGCGCTGTTGTGCAATCTCTCATTCGTAGCTGGACACACGGGCTGCTTGGCGGGGTCATCTGTGCATTAAATTTTGGTCTGCAGGCTACTGCAGAAGAACAACATCTTCTAGCCAAAATAAATAGAAGGCAGGCACCTGAAAGCTTCCTGCCTGCACCAGCGCGGCGGCAGGAGGGAAAGGCACCCGGGCAGCACGGGGCACACCCTGCAGCGCTTCCTCCGGGCCCCCTCGGCGAAACGGAGCGGTGCACCTCCCTCCGAACGGCCGGGGTCCTTGTTTGTAGTGTTTTCACTCATAATCTTAGCAATGTTTTTAACGCCGTTTCTGGTGGATGGAGGTTATTAAAGATCCTCTCGACATTTCAGGCAGACACATGCTAGCATTTTGTCATAGTCTAGGAATTCAAACACTCACCCAGTTAGGCAGGAGTTTAAATTATGAAAAATAGAGGTCTCTCAGTTTCAAAGCACTGAAGAGAAGTAAAAAAATCTGAAGAATTTCTTTAAACTGTTTTTCCCCTAGGTCAGGAAGCAGTAGTGATATAAAACTAGAACGTCACTAGTAGCCCCTCCAGCCAGTGGGGTCAGACAAAAGAAGCCATGAGGGCTTGCTCGGCCATCGATGGGAGCAAATTCTCACTGGTGGCACTAACTGGAGTGCAGATGGTCCAGAAATGGGGATCGTTAGTAGACACGCAGCAAAGCGCTCTTGATGTACTGATAGTGTTCTTGGGCAAGGACTGCTCTGTCATCTACAAAAGGGTCTGCTCTGTACGGGGGGGGTCCTGTAATACAGTCCCATCTGAAGCCTCATTCTTTTTTCCTATATCCATTTGGAAAGCTCTGCACAGTGGGAGTTTTCAGCTGGCCACCCAGTTATAAGCCCGATTTTGTGAGGTTTCCCTCACCTCTGCGCGGTACAACCACGATGTAGGTGCCTAACTGCGGTTCAACAGAAAACACATCCAGAGCAAGGTACATGCTTTGCAAACTTGGACACCAAGACACATGCCTTGCCCCAGAGCCGTTAAATCTTAAAACTACACAGGTAGGAAAGGCAGGAGAGGGAAGGCACAGAAAGCGCAGGCCAGAAGGGGTTCAAGGCGAGGGGGCAGCACGGGAGTCTGGCGACCAAGGAGCAAGAGAGAAAACATTAGGCACAGACGATGGAGAAACTGCACAGGAGGAAAACCAGACAGAAAATAATGGCAAGGAGCAGGGAAGG